GTAGCAAACCTTACAGTTCTCAAAAACAGGCTCTTGAAATATCTATCTGGAGTCTCAGCAACATTTGGTGGCTCGACGTATACGAGAAGAGCCCATAAAGTGTAAGCTGCAGTACCTTCGATCACCAATCGATTGACGAAAGCACATACCGAAATGATGAGATTTAGCATTGCACGATGGCAAGCGTGACCCGTTGATAGAAGCTGTGCGCGCAACGCGACCGCCCGCGCAGCCGACTCTGTAGATAAATGGGGCCCTTACTTCAATCTACAATATTTTTTATTTTTCCAATGTTTCATTCTATTTTTTGAATGTTAACAGTCTTTTCCATTGGGATTGAAGACTTTGTTCCTTTTAAGCGATGATTCATGCTGCTATGCTCGTTTCTTCAACTATAGTTTCAGGTCAAGCTTCGAGAAAAATTAAGTTTGAGGAACGTGCTAATGTGATCTTTTCTTCGGTAAATTGCATGTCTTGAAGTGTTGCTTCATTGAACTTCATGTCAAAAATTCCCCATGTGCATCGTTTTTCCAAATTTACCTGAAAATAAAGCCGGAGAAACGAACATAGTGGTATGAAACATCGCTAGGCGACAACAAAGTCCTCGACCCTGATTACAAACGTCACTGAAACAAAAAATTACCAAGCAACGACGAGAAAACACGAGAGAATACTGCATGACTTTCAAATAAGTCTGACCGTGCAGCGCCCTGACACCACCGCGTGCCCTAGTTTGAATTCCCCGTCCGCTGGGGGGAGGGGGGGGGGAGGAGGACGACTATACCTGGTAATTGTTTGTGCAAGAGTCGTACGCGTGCCTGTCAATTCCGTTCAACTTAGTCTTGCTTTTTCAGACATGCTTCTTCTTTCTGTAGGTAGCACGATAAAATAAATTCATCTAAATGACCCTTGCATCAAAGACATTGAAATGGCTTGCCCACTGGAATTGTATTAGGGTGAACGGCAAAAATGGGTCATCTGGGGAATATCTAGAATTCTCAAAAAAGAGAAGTGATTAAACTTTCAAATTTTGATAAATATTAGGATATATTTTCTCTTTTAGACAATACCTATACGAGATTTACGTAGTCTGTTTGCTGTTGATCAAAATAGAAATCTCAAAATATGGTAAAAATCACGCTGGCTCATTTTTTGCCGTTCACCTTTATACATTAATGAGCTGCTACACTGTGACCAGTGATTTTTATGTAAGTCTAGTTTGGAAAGGAAGCATGAGGCTGCTGCTCGACACCCATTATGTGTTCATCAAGGCGAAACGTTGTCTGGTATATAGTGAGTTGTAGTCTAATTGGAGGTTTTACCATGTGTAAAACACTCTACGTATGATTCAGCCATCCTCTACGAATAGAATGAGACAAAGGTGTATCTTCAATGCTTTGGCTGCTATGAGCGTCTGGGTCCTGCTGCTGTCAATTAGGCTAACAATTTGGTGACCATGGCTTTTTGAAATGAAACGTATACCATTGAATGCATCTTAAAGCGCTGATTCCGAATCTGTTTTCATTATCTGCTGTGCGCTCTTCCGAAAGAATTTATGAACATTTCTGTCACCAAAATTTGCACTGTTTTTGATGCAGGATTCGCCATCGTTAGAATGTCCGCTTACGCACTACGAAAGAGCTTACAGATAAAGTAAAGCTTTACGTTAACTTCAGGAAAACTGTCACCAATACATCAGAGTCTAAAAGCCTGGATACTGACGATTTTGACTGCCCGAGTCTCGCGAAATCAATATGAAAAAGTCCATAAGTTCGTTCAGGGAGTCGCACAGCAGATAACGAACATAGATTTAATCAGCGTTCCAAGACGCACCTACTGGTATGCATCTCATTGCAAAAGGCCACGGTCACCAAGTATCCTTCCCTCGTAAGACTGTTTCTGTTGCGGTGATCATCTGGAATCTTTATTGTGTTGCTTCTGTAATTTCTTCCCATGATTATTGGTATCCGTCTACATTAACCTGTTTGCATCCCATGATTGAAACTTGAAGTGCATGTAGATTTCTCAAAGCGGATACATTCGAACACTTTCAATTGTTCTCTTTTTCATTCAGTGGCTCAAAGTTGCATTAGTAGTATAAAGGAGCGTCTTGAACAAAGACGACGATGAGTAATGAAATGACATTTTCAATATGTAACCTATACTGACACCGGAGCGCATGAGCGTTACCGACCACAACCGCGAAATGTAACAATTCCAAAGACAAGAGCTAAAGATTTTATCACATTGTCCAGAAAGTTCTGCCAATTATTTTGAACCAAGATTTGATGTAAAAAGTATTGGATTGAGACTTGTGTTTGATAAGCGGCGGTGTCTATCAAATATGTTATTTAGCTTGGAAATTTGTACAAAGATTTGGAAAGGCGCTTTTTCCCGGTATCAGACTTGCAGAACTTGCAGACTCGGTTGAGTCTTTGCTATACCCTTTATATTCTCAAAGCGACATCCCACTGCTAAGTGTTCAATATTGGGGCTTGTTCCGTGCAAGAAATACTTTCTTATTACAGAGTTCAACAACTCGAAGTATCAGCAATTTGTTATGCTGCCAGCGCATTTCTGGAAGAACAGCAGAGCCATGTCGCTACCTTTTCAAGTACGAACTATCTCAGAGGGAGGCAACTTTGCCTAATTTTGCCTGCGACTCTCGTCTAACATCGTAACTACCGACATCGCCTTAGAGGCAGTGGATCGGCAAAATGGACCTTAGTCAGATTTTGGTAACTTCAGGTTGTAAACCCCCCCCCCAGGTGCACCGTAGCGCCACCCACACCCCGCAATTCATGCGCTGAGTCCTGAAAATGTGCTTCAAAACTTCACCAAAGACGCCTACTCAATGTAAGTGAGCGAGGCTGGAAGAGTTTTGAAGCGCGTTTTCAGAACTACTAAGCGCATAAACTGGAGGGTGGAGGTAAGATTACGGTGTGGTTGGGTGGTCTACTACCTACTCAGATAATCGCCGGGGTTTGGCCATGCGATTTTTGTGCAAACGGGCACCGGAAAAATAGTCTGCTGATTTCTTGCGGTCCGCTTGCCGATATTTGGAAGAATTAATTTTGACCGAATTTCAGACTAATGCTCGGAGAACAAACGCGGCTTTTCATAGATTAGTGGCGGCGCAGTGGCCGCATTCTCGCGAACTTTCCACGAGAATATGCAAAACTTTCGAAGGTCGCAGGGTCCTTTGTGAAGGACCGCACAGCCCGCGGTACATTCCGCTGAGAGAAAGTACCCCAAACCCCATCTCACACAACCGCTTCTATCTGAGTAACGCTACCAAAATCTGACTAAGGTCCATTTTGCCGATCCACTGCTTTAACCTACTATTTTACAACAGGGGTTCCTAGGCAATTCTGATGAAAAGGACTCAGTCTTGATTGCCTCTTTGACCAGAGTCAAGAGCAGGGTTGAGCGTGGGGTCAGGCGCGCCCGACCTGGGGGGTCGTACTGGGGTAAGACAGAGGGGGGGGGGGGGTCGTGATTAGGAATCGAATTCGTTCGATTGAGGAGATACTACGATTAAGGTGAAGAAGAAAAGCGCTAGTTTAGTGGATATCGCGACCTCACCAGTACTGAAGGAAAGAACGGTCTTAAACAGCATACTGATTGATTCCACAATCGAAGTTTCGGCCAAAACTCAAATTTTCATCTTTTACCTTGACATATTATAAATTCATCAAGAAAGCTTGCTGTGTGAAATGGGTATCATTTCCGAGCACGTCAAATTACCTCTATGAGCCCTACAAACCATTATTTACTGCATTATCTAGTGTTTCTCAACGACTAAAAAGCGTGATTTTCAAACATGATTAACTTGTTTTCAAAAGTGAGAAAAGTCAATTTTTTTGTACTCGTAACAAAGTATTGTTCCCTACTAGTCTAGGCTAAAAATCGCGCTTTGTATCGCTTGCAAATAGTGGAGTAAGAAATAATGCCAAAATTCCGACCGGCGCGTTTTTCTCCATGACTGCTTCAACTCCACGGATTACCACAAGGCCGAAACAAGTCGAATCAAGTCCAAACACTTACTGTGGAATCTTCGAGGGTTGTGCTAGCATTCACACAAAACTTGAATAAAAAAGCTTCTTCAATGATAAAGTTAATCGGGTCAGGCGCAACTTCATAAAAGGTCAGGCCGCCTGAGCTTTTGAGGGGTTGCGCCTGACCCGATTAACTTGTTTTCAAAATCTAAAAATCGCTCCATTTCTGCTATGAGTATTGAACTCAAAGCCTCTTCTTGCAATACTGCAAATTTGGAGCCAAACAATACACCCCTGTGGGAATTATAGCTCTAAAAGTAGGGCTATCCAAAATCCAAAACTTGCCGTCAAGTTGCGTGTGCTGTGCAATCGCAGAAAGTCGACCTACAGACCTCCAAAAAACAAGAACCTCCCAAAAACGGCTGATCTCTTCGAATTATCACAGCCTGAGGTCCTGGAGGTGAAGCAGAGGGGTCGTTTAGGGGCTTTCACTGGGGAGGGGGTCGTTTTGGAAAGACTTGTGCCTGACCTCTTGCTCAACCCTGGTCAAGAGTGTTCCTAGTTGTTTGACATGTGTGGTCAAGAAGAGATTGTTTATTTTCGTTGGATGGTTATTTGAAGGCAGTGGCCCGGGAAAGTCGCAATTGGGGCATTTCCACAACTACGTGGCCTTCTGGACCAGCTGGGTCAGGTACTGTGCTTGAAATGTTGAAAAAGTGCATTTTTGGCATTTCCCGACCTTGGAGATTGCTGGAGAGGCGGGGCGAGGGATTCCTGTCAACCGTATCATAGATTGCCTGGGCTGATCAGCCAAATGCCGTTGAAATGGAAAATCACTGTATCCTGCAGTCACTTGCTGGTTATGGCGGGAGAATCCCTTGCCTCGCCTCTCCAGGCCGGTAAGCTCCAAAAAACAACACACCCGACTCAGCTGGTCTAGAAGGCCATGTAGTTGTGAAAACCCCCAGTCGCGATTTTCCTGAGCCACTCCCTTTGAGCATGCACGGTAAATGTGTAGTGTCCATCAAGTAACATTAACGGTCTAGACTTTCCTATAAATGAAAGGGAATATGAAGAAAATTTCATAGCAGAGCATTACAAAATACGATGTGTCCCATTATCTTGAGGTGTAACAAACTGCTTAGCCAACTTCTCGAAGATGGTCTGTATAATTTGTTTGCCAAATCTGTTGAAATGATTTGCTTGATCAAGATACATGAGGTTCGTATTAGGATTGTAGCCGAGATAATGTCCCTTCTCATCAGCAAGCATTAGCATGTAATCAACTATCTCACACTTTTTGCACCTGAAACGACTTTTTGAAACGATTACGGAAAAGCAGTATTGTTTTGACAAAACTACCTTTTGCTTAGTTCCCATATTCGATATCGAGCAAAGGACTCATCTCTTACGATAAGACCATCCTAAAAGTATCTGGCATTTTTATTGTTGAAGTAGGCATACTTCTTGAACACTAACTTTCCCTTAGTAACAATACACATACCAGGTCGTCAAGTATTTATCAAACACGTTGACAAAGAAATTTTACAAGAGAATGTTGTTGTGTGATAATGTATTCTCTCTCTATATATAAAGCAGAAGATCTGTATGTTTGTGCACATTTTAGTTATGAAGGATGAGCGGTAAAGCTCGTTTTGATCTGCTGGTCATCAAGACATATTAAGGATGGTAGGAAGCGAACCCAAGACGATCGGAATCAAAGTGATAAGTTTCGCTGCATGAGTCAAGCACGATGGACTGGCTCTAAACAGGGTTGGAACTCTGGATGCCAACTCGTTTATGATAAGTACTGGCTGGCCTACCTGAGTCGGCCAGGTCCTATCAAAACACTGATCCAATTCTAATTCTTTACGTCCCTGTCCTGTCCGTGTTTTCCCATTGAGTTTTCGTAATCAATTTGCTCACCCCAACACTAGCCAAAGTTTGCAAAATACCAACGGTATTTTCCATATTGATGTTATCGTTACCACCATGCTCTACTGTGTCAATCCGTCCAGAAATGGAATTTTTCCGAAATACACACATAACACACAGAGCGAGAGAAACAAAAAAGGAGGGCAAGCCTCTTCAACGGATACTTTGATACTGCAGCGACCTGCATGACCACAGCTCTGGCGATATAGTCGCGAGTTTTATTACCCTTGAACTCACTTTGATTGTGTTCAAAGCTTTCCCATTCTTCAAATACAGCATAGCTTTAGCGGAGCAAGAGCTTACGCAGCTCGGTAGAGCCTGCAGGATATATATCTAAATCCAGCGACGGCTTGTTCGATGAATATAAACGCAGATG